TCAAGTTGATTGCCCTGTAATGCCTGGATTCTACTTTCTGCCCTTTCTTGAAGCTCGGTACCACATTGGTCCTCCAATCTTAAGGTACTTCACCTGCGTGCCACGAGTTTTTGAATATGTTTGCCATTCATTGGCCTAGGACACCTGCCAGCTCCTTGAGTGCGGTGTAACCTGTCAGGAGACACTTGAAGGTGTCCAGCTTGTCAAGGTGATCCTTTACTAGATCAACACCGATGCTGGCTGTAAATATATCCTCACCCTGGATGTCCCACATCTTGCTAGGAAAAGTGGTCCCATTGGACTGATGAAAGACTGAAGGGAAGTATCCATTGAGCAGGTTGGCCTTTTCCTGAGTGTCGGTTATCAGCTGTCCCGTTTGGTCCAGCAGGGGTCCAACGTTACCCTTGTTTTTTCTCCAACTCCCTACATATGTGAAAAAGGACTTTTTGTTATCCTTGATATGTTTAGCCAATTGGATCTCATTGCAGCCTTAACTTTCCTGGTCCACTCCCTGCAGGTACGGACCAGTGCTGAGTACTCCTCCTTGGTGGTACTTCCACCCATCCATCCCTTATAAGTCTCTCTTTTGAGGCGTAGGAAGTTCTCCAGTTCCCTGATGAGTCAGGGGGGTTGCTGCACCCTTTTGTTACCCTTGCTCTGAGGTGGGATGGCTATCCCTTGTGCTGTCAGGATCTCTCCCTTGAGGAGCAACCACTCCTCTTGGACGCCTCTTCCAGTCGAGTCATGGTCCCTTAGGGCCTCGATAATGTGCCTCCTGAGCTTGTAAGAGTCAGCTTTCCTGAAGTCGAGGACTTCAGCATTGCTGACTGACTTGCTAGCTTTGCAATGGATAGTGAAGGTGCTCAGCTCATGGTCACTTTCACACAGCTTTCCTTCAGTTCTTAAGTCACTGACTATGTTATCTCCTTTGGCCAGTACCAGGTCCAACAACACTTTACCTCTCATCGTCACATAGACTTCTTGAGTCAGGCAGAGCTTGTCCATGGACTTGAGGAAGCTTTGCGACCAATCAGATTTGGTCAAGTTCTCTTCCCATGAGATGTCTGGGTAGTTGAAGTTGCCCATGACAACCATGTACCGAGAGCGTGCAGCCTCAGCCAGTTCCCTGGCAAATTCCTGGTCCAGCTCTTGTTTCTGGTTAGGAGGTCTGAAGTAGACTCCTAGCATGATGTCCCCTGAGCCCTGTTCCCCACGTATTTTGACTCAGAGAGACTCCAGTCATCCCTCCTGGGTGCCAATGTCAATTTGGAGGCATGTGTAGCTGTCCTGGACATAGAGGGCTACACCCCCACCCCTTTTACATGCATGATAATGCCTATACAGGGTATAGCCATCCACACCTGTGGCCAGTCATAGATGGAGTCCCACCAGGTCTCCATTATCCCTGTGAGGTCATAGTCATCCTTGTTTAGCAGGAGGACCAGTTCCTTCTGTTTATTCCCCAAGATCCTGGCATTGGTGTACAGGCAGGCAAGTGTCCTATCGGGGGCCATTGCCTTCCCTACAGATCATTCCGGGACTAGGGCAGGGATGGGTTCCCTTCAGTGCCTTAGCCTTCTGCATTTACAAGCATTGCCCAGTGGGCTAGCAGTGGTGATAGACCCAACCCCCGGCAGGTTTAGTTTAAAGCCCCGTGAAGCAGGTCAGCCAGTCTGGCGGAGAAGAGCCTCCTCCCCAGCAGAATGAGGTGGAGGCTGTCACTCCCCAGCAGACCACTGCCTGTCTCACTAAAGAGCAAACTATGATCATGGAAGCTGAAATGTTCACAATGATGCCAGTGCCACTGTCTTTGGTTGACTACCTCAATCCGTCTCTCCCTCCTCAGCCCATGACCCACAACCGGGAGGAGTGAGGAAAAGACCACCTGCACCCCAACCCCCTAAACCCCGCTCCCAGAGCCCTGTAGTCTCTCATGACTCAGCTGAGATTGCTCCGAGCTGTGTCATTTGAGGCTACATGGATAAGGAGCATACGGTAGTGGTTGGAGAGCTGGATAATCTTTGGTATCCTCTCTTCTATGTTCTTCATGTGGGCCCCCAGGAAGTAGCAGACCTCCTGGGCTAGGGAGTTGGGGCAGCAGATTGCCCCCTCAGTCCCCTTCAGGAGGGAGTCTCCCATGATGAGAACTCTGTGTTTCATCTTAGGAAGAGTAGGGATGGCTGACCCTCCCTTGCCTGCAGGAGCTGGAATCTCTGCAGAATAAACTGGGGCTGTAAGATATTCATACCCATTGCAAATCCCCAAATGGGAGGAGACTTTGTTGCGGCAGACCTTGGAGCCACTGACCACCTTGGTCCAACCTCCTGACTGGACAGTATAGGACATCCCCGAGTCTTCCCTTGTCCTGGGAGGTGACCCTGGTCTACCCTCTGCCTCCAGGGGGGGAAGGGCCTGGAAGTAGCAGTCTATCTCCTGCTTGCCATCCCTGATGGCACGCGGTCTCTGGAATGTGGCCTGGAGCTCCTCTATCTGGCTCTCCAGAGACTCCAAAGTCAAGCAAACCTCGCAAAGGGGGCTGGCCATGCTCCTGGTCCCATGAGCCTGGAAATGTGCCAGGCAGCCCCTGCAGCTGATAGCCAGGGGCTCCATCTATGTGGAGCCTGGAACCATGGGTTCCATCTGGGTGGAGACCTCTGAGGTGCCAGAGGGGGAGGCTGCAGACTCCGAGGGAACCCTCGGGGTGCAGCATGTGCCCATCCACATTGTGCTGCTGCTAGACCAGCTACTGCCTACCCTAGGGGGCTCACTGGCAAGGCTGTGGGCCTTCCCGCTCACCCTCCTGCACAAACTCCTGCACTAACTCATGAGATGGGCCCAGAAGTGCACCTGTTTGCACCTCCTGTTCACAAGGCTCCCTGAGGGGCTGGGCAAATTAGGAGCCGGGCCGGGGGGTCATGACCCTCCTTGGCTCCACTCAGCTGCCTCCGTGATGGCTACATCCTTCCCACCACGGGCCCCTGCTTACCTTTGGGCAGGCTGGAGCTCATCAGGGATCCTGTGGTCTCTCCTGTGGGGTCCCTTGGTTCACAGGTGCACATCAGGTTTTCACCCGTGAGTCTCACACTGGAGCCAGGACCTGAGTTCAGCTTTGGCCATTGCTTGAGCCTTTTTAAACTGCACACATGTGCAGAAGGGCCAGCTGGTGCCGCACTGTTCTTGGGGTGGGGGCTAAGGGAGTCCCTCCCCCCCCACTGAAGGAGGGAAGAGGTAAGTGACTCCACAAAACTGTCTCGCATGCTGGCAGCCAGGTCACACCATTCACTGGGGGCCTGGGCCAAATAGGAGCCAAGGGAGGGGGTGTGACGCACCTCGACTCCACCCAGCTGCCTCCCTGCTGGCTACATCACTCCCACAATGGGCCCCTGCTTACCTGTGGGAAAACTGGGGATCACTGGGGGTCCTGGAGTCTCTCCTGGGGGGTCTCTGGGTTCATGGGGGTGCAGCAGGCTTTCACCTGCGTGTCTCGCACCAGAGCCAGGAGCCCATTGTGGCTTCTGCCATTCCCGGGCTCCTTTTTAAACCAATAAATATGAGCCACCAATGTGATGTTACAGCCAGCAAAGCAAGCAAAACTCTACCTTGCATCCATAGATGCTTCTCTAGCAAATCCCAACGTATCATTCTCCTGCTGTACTCAGCCTTGGTGAGGGCCGCAGCTGGAATACTGCATCCAATTCTGGGCTCCACAATTTAAAAAGGATGTGGAGAAGCTTGTGAGAGTGCAGAGCCGAGCCATGTGCATGATCAAAGGGCAGGAAAACACGCCTTATGATGAGATGCTGAGAGCTATGGGGCTCTTCAGCCTGAAAAAGTGCAGGCTCAGGGGGGACCTGGTGGCTGCCTATAAGTATATAAGGGGTGTACATTAGTGTCTGGGGGAATGCCTGTTCACCTGTCCCAGGTGCTCTGGGATAGGCTCCACCAATCAAAACAGCAGGATCTCAAGCCTAGGACTCAACCCAAGATCTGAAAGGTGAGCCTGCTACACCTGCATTTGATACTATTTTTTACCCTCTTTTATGCCAAAAAAAATGTGAGCCAGCAGGGTTTCTTGTCCTTGGCTCTTTCTTTGCCTGGCTCTTATTCATGTTGAACTAATGTTGGAAGAAATCTTTGGTAGTCTTTTTCTATATGCTGTATAATGCTTGGGAAGCTACGCAGCTTTACCTCTTTTAAGCCGTTCTAGCATGCATTGCTTTCCTTCTTAAGTTCATTTATTTGTGGGATGGGTTATGTGAAGCATATGATTTCTAAGTTTTTTTTTTTTCTGAAGTTTTCCTTCATAGTTGTGAAACATATTTGGAGTTGTGTGTGGTAGTCAGAGACAGGACATTGGAGAGAACGCCTTGGACATAAGCATAATCAAGAACTCCCACAAGACTTTTTCCTATTGTCTAACCACGTCAGTAGCAAAACTGGCCAAGGATTTAGAAAGAGTCCATGAGACGTAGATGCGACAAAAATTGCCCTTTTTCTGGTTTGTCACACATTACGGGGTGGTTTTTTTTGCTGTTTAAATGGCTTTTTTTCAATTCAAAATAAACCACATCCTGATGTATTTTTGGCTTGCATCAATACAAGTTAATATGATGCATCCATTGATCTGTCACATGTACATGTTAATTCACTGAGTGAGGTGTAGTGAACCAGATGTCACTTCAATTTGCAGATAGGAGAGAAAAAGGATACATACAATAGGTGTACAATGTCTATTTTCAGACACCAGGTGTAGCAGCTCAGCCAGCCTGACATGAATCAATCTTCTGCTCACCTGCATGGACACCTGTGCCCTCTCCCCTCCCTGCCCCGCCCCCCCCTGGCATGGCCCTGAACAGGGTGACAAGTGTGCCCTTACTGACAATGACACTGCCACCCCATAATCTGTCCCAAGTCCCATCAAGAAATGAAGACCCTGTTGGCTGCCTAAAGGGGGTGCTCTAGAACAATTTCATTTGCCCTTCAGAGCAAATGGTGCCCACCTGTTTACAGGACTGCAGCACATAGACTCCACACTTCTTTTTTTTTCCCCTTGTGCTGCCACATCGGTCATGCATGAGCTCACACAACAGTCAGACCCATGGATGTTCCTGAAACAACAGCAGGCAGCATTTGCAAGTATGCACAGTCATGCCCCCACCCCACCCCTTCTGCCCCGCATGGCCCTGGCATGGGTGTCCCTCTGGGCTGTGTTGCCTCTGGCTCCCCAAGGGGTGCCCTTACTGACAATGGCACTGTCACCCCATAATCTGCCCCTGGTTCCATCAAGGGATGAAGAACCACTTGGCCACCGAAAGGGGGTGCCTTGGAGCCCTTTCATTTGCCCTTCAGAGCAAATGGCACCCATCTGCTCACAGGACTCCCCAGGTACAAGTGGATTCAGTCAAAAGGCTCCCTATGTCCAAAGTAAGAGGCCTCCCACCTCTCACTGACACTATCTCTGTTACACCCCACCCACAGCCCCCGCTATCCCTGACAGCGCCCCTCACTGGTGACCTGCCAGCACGGTCAGTCCTGGATGGGGATTTACCATGTTTTCTAGTTTTACAAGTTTTGCAAACCTCTCTATGGGTGCCTCTGTCAACTGCAGTTGGTTTTGCAGTGCTGAGAACAAAGCCAGGGAGCCTGGCTTGATTATCTGCCAATGGCTCACATTGAAAGAAAAAAAAAACAAAAAACAAGAAAATAGCAACACTTCTTTACATAATTAACCATAACTGATATAGCAAAACATAACTGCAGATGGAAGGGAGGGAAAGGGGGAGGCGCACATTACCCACCATGGATGAGAGTGGACACCATGTCTTCCAAGTCTATGTTGCCTCTGTCAACCCCAGGCGGATCATGACAAACAAGGGAACCCCGGGTTCCAGGTGTTGTGTGCCTGTGCGTGAATCTGACACTGGTAGAGAACGAATGACCACTTCTCTGCTTTCAGTTGGTTCTGTTAGACCCCGACTCCATATGGCACCCAATGACTAGAGAAACAACAGTCCAATTGCTCATGGATCCTGGTACTCATTAGCCAGAGCAGACAGGGAGCAAACACCAGCACACATTGCTCGCTACAGCTTTATTCAGAATGGAGACAGCTTTGGACAAGGGTCCCAAAAAACAACAAACCGGGGACCTGCCCTGAACAACAGTTCTGTCCAACATTTATACACTTTGTTTCATACATATTAACATTTATTATCCTTCCTCCGGTTCCACCTATTTCTCCTCTCATCTCAAGCTCCACCTGTTTGCTTACTTAGCATGGTATTGCCTATGCATTTCATTAATTGACATGCCTCTCTGCTAAGAGCACATGCATAAAACTTTGACCCCTGTCTTCTTTTGGTCACTTTGCAGTTTCTTGCTGACTTCCCCATCTCCAAGGCTGTATCTCTGCTTTTGTCTCCTGAAATTAGTTGCTTAACAAATCATGCACTTTGCACCCTATCCTTGTGTTAAGAATCCGCTTACTTAAGCATTAGCTAAGTTAGTTGCTTTAAATATATCAGCTAGACTTGTGACTAACAGCTTTTTGATGTTACCTTTTAATATATCATCCAGCCTTGTGACCAGCAGCTTTTTGCTGAGACACAGGAAAAAGCCTTCATTCAGCTGTATACCCAAATTCCATATAATTACCCCAACATCCAAACTCCATATCGTTACCCTAAGAGGCTCTTGAGCATGGTTTCACTTGTTGTTTAAACTAGCATGGGGTTGTCCAATTCCACAATTGCAGGTTCTAGCATGCAGACATTGAAACAACTTTGTGCCATGTGCACCCCACACCCTCCAACCTTTACTTTGACCTGGGACTACATAAGCCTTGTAGGGAGGCAGTTTGTGCTTGTAGGGAGGCAGTTAGACGGGCCAAAGCTACTATGGAGCTGAGGATGGCATCCCAAGTAAAGGACAACAAGAAATTGTTGTTTTTTATTTATATAGGGAGTAAAAGGAATGCCCAGGGAGGAATAGGACCCCTGCTAAATGGGCAGAAACAATTGGTGACAGACAGGGGGGACAAGGCTGAACTCCTCAACAAGTTCTTTGCCTCAGTGTTCCTAAGTGAGGGGCACGACAAGTCTCTCACTGGGGTTGTAGAGAGGCAGCAGCAAGGCACCAGACTTCCATGCGTAGACCCTGAGATGGTGCAGAGTCACTTGGAAGAACTGGATGCCTTTAAGTCGGCAGGCCCGGATGAGATCCATCCGAAGGTGCTGAAGGCACTGGCCGACATCATTGCAGAGCCACTGG